TCACAATTTTAAGAAATAAAAATAAGTGTTTTTAAATAATATTTTATCAAAAATAATTAATGACATCAGCATCTGTAAATTAGAGCATTCTGGGTTATTTGGCTATTGTGTTTATAATCTTACAAATGACATTTTAATAAATTCTGCATTATTGTTGCTACACATGTAATTCAAATTCACGATTTAATTTGGAATTTTAAAGACACTGTCGATTGATTTCTGAATGCCACACAACTCTGGTTCTCTTGGAGTATTTTACATAGTGCTGTCAAAACGATTAATCGTATACAAAATAAGTCTTTGTTTACATAATATGTGTGTGTTCTGTGTATATTTATGTATATATAAATACACACACATACAGTATATATTTAGAAAATATTTACATGTATTTACACATGTCTATATTTATATTCATATAATTTATATTATAAATAAATCAATATATTTACTATATAAACATAACATATTTTTCTAAAATATATAGATGCATGTGTGTGTATTTATATATACATAATAAATATACACAGTACACATACATATATTATGTAAACAAATACTTTTATTTTGGATGCGATTAATCACGATTAATCGTTTGACAGCACTAATTTCACAACATCAATCTTATGGGTTTTTTAGGTCTTCAGGACTATCAGGCGGCTCTAGAAATCGACCCACACAACGCAGCCCTGCGAGCTGATACAGACAAGATTCGTGAGGTCATACAAGGCACCACATGACCATCTAAGCTCCTAAAAAGCTTGGATCATGATTACACCTGTAATTGATGCATTAATGTACATGCATGCATGTTTTTAACAGTGGTTTCTAATATGAAACACACAAAATGTTTTGATTATACTCTTTTTTTTTTAACAGTTTTCATCTTCTCAATAAAACAACATTCATCTTTTCGAATGGTACTGGACGTACATCAATTACCTTATATAATTGCAGATAAAAACAAAACAAGTCCTTGATCTTGAGTTAAAGGTGACATATTATGCCCCTTTTTACAATATGTAATATAAGTCTCTGGTGTCCCCAGAATGTGACTGTGAAGTTTCAGCTCAAAATACTCCACAGATAATTTATAATTTTGAAAATGCCTATTTTGAGTGGAAGCAGAAACAAAAGAGATGTAAATGGTTAACTATAAATGATTACCTGATAGATAGAGTAATAAGAAGAATACAGGGAAAAGTCATATTATAAAAACAACCATCCCAGCTAATAGGAAAAGTTTGGCAACGTTCTCTCTCAAAAGTTATGAAAAAAATTTTCTTTCATTAACATTATGATTAATATTGTTCAGCCTATCTGTACAATGCTTTTGGGCTGCCATCCTCGTTATATATCAGTCCAGTAACCCAGTTTATAAGGTACTTGTCACTGCCGTCTAGATCCTTAGGTTCAGAAGGTGCCCGATGTAGCATCTTCCAGTCACATCTCTCCATTCTTCTTGCTCTGGAAATCACCACCAAAATTGCCTTCCACCACGGACTTCCCCAGTTGGAGGAACATGTGTGTCACGGTGGAATCCATAATCATTCCATCTATCACGGCTTATATAGAAAGCAACGTGTCTCAGAGTCATTGCTATTGGTTCACTTTCAAGAAACAGCTTATACGCATTGTCCCACCACTCTTCACTCACTTCATCCAGGTTCTTCCAATTTGACATCTGTTGCAAAACAGGAAATAAACCGTTTGCATCAGTGTTACTCTTATGTCAGTTGTCAGCGGATAGTTATGTATAAATATAAACCCTTCATATGGGTTTTATGCTCAGTCAAATCATTGTGGATGTATCATACACAAATAAATGTGGTGCCACAGAAGACCTATTATGAATAATTTATTGCTACTCTGTGAATAATATGTAATCATGTAATCAGTTAAAAAAGTAACCAGTCCGATTACGAGTAAATGTAATTTAATCTAATTACAAGTACTTAATTTTTGGAATCTGATTAGTAATCCAGATTACATGTAACCAGTTACTACCCAGCTCTGGATACTGGGTTTAAAAACGTACTGCTTGTATGCGATGCCTTGTGACTTCTTGTAAAATGTATGCGTTGATAGAGAGCTGCCGCAATGTGCTTTATGAAAACGACAGTTGTGTAGAAGAGTGTGGGCGGAATTCATTTGTCATGCCTTGCAGACGTTTTGTGTAGAGATCCGATAGTGCGAATCAAGAACTTCGGCACCAATACGGATGTAACACGTCACGTGTGTCATATAGCCTACAAGTAGTATGAGTAATACTGCACAAAGTACAGAATGGCAAAGTACAGGCCTTATGGGATCCTGCCAGTTTGACTGCAAATCCACTGATGCGATATATTACATATTCACCACTAGATGCTACTGTTGTGCATAATTTCAGCAGATAATCTATACTTTTATTTTTCAGGGTATGGCTTCAAAGATGTCTGTTCTAAATTCAATAAAATTATGCATTTTGAAAATGAGAAATTACACAGTTCGTATTAAATACACAGCAGTCCTTAACTGACTGTACACTTGGCTAGCTGGATTAATGACTGATCATGAAAAAAAAACGAACTGCAAAAACATTTGGCAAGATTTCTTTTAATTTCAAGCTGATCTGAACACACTATCAAAAACAATGATGCTCTCTCCTCAAGTAAAGAGCCAGCTTTATGCTCGCTATTAGTTTGATATCTAAAAATGTCAGTGTTTTAAACATGATCTTTTGGTCTGATAAATAATTAGACTGATGTGTTGTTTTAAATTGAGAAAATCTGCTCATTTCATATAATGATATTTGAAGGAATGATTCTCCCAAAAGGACGTCTATCCATGAAAACCTTAAATTATGATGCATAATTGTATTTGCTACATGAAATTGTAATTTTTGTACTAGTGCTGTCAAACGATTAATCGAAGTTTTTGTTTAAATAATGTGTGTGTACTGTGTATATTTATTATGTATATATAAACATACTCATACAGTATATATTTAGAAAATATTTAGGCTACATGTATATATTTATATATTGATATAACTAAATATGTTTAATTATGAACATAACATATTTTTCTTAAATATATACATGCATGTGTGTGTATTTATATATGCATAATAAATATACACAGTACACACACATATATTATGTGAACAAAAACTTTTATTTTGGATGCGATTAATCGCGATTAATCGTTTGTCAGCACTAGTTTGTACACTTTGACAGTATTCTTCCTAATAAAACTAAACTTGCTTTCATGAGTGGATGTTTATTGCTGCCGTATCCATCAAACATACACAATACTGGACGTACATCAAGGTTAAAAAGATCAATTACATGCAGTAACAACAAAACAAGACCTATCTTGAGTGAGTGATGATCAGTAGACGTAACTCAAATATAAAATGCAAATGTGTTTGGTCACTGTCCCTTAAGCTGTGTATTATCATTTGGGATATACACATAGCGGTGGTCCAAGGTGGTATTAAAGGAATTGTCCTGGAACATCTCACACAGTCCAAGGTGCTGTGAGAAGCTCTGGGATATGGGGTGATAGGAGCAGGGCGAGGACTCAAACGTGGGTGATCGAGCGCCATAGTCGCCGGATGTCGTCTTATACATCAGGTTCTGAGATCTGGCCAGCGCCGGATCTTCAGACGACGCGTGAGATCCTGGTTTGATCATGCAGGAGAAAACTGGATTTCCAGGATTAGCGCATGGAGCCCGGTGCTCCGGATTCGACATTATGACTGCAGCCTGAAAGGAGATAAAGTGTAGACTGATGCATTATTATTAAAGTAACCAAAGCCAGTTAATCATTTTAGGAACTTTGCTTTAATTAAATTTTATTTCCTTAGTTTTTCTGTTATTAAAAATATGATTTTAAGAACATAATGCATGCAATTCCCAGTGGTAATATAACCCTACTAAACTCCGAACCTCTAGTAAATGATCTTTAATGTATTTTAGTGCTGTCAAACGAATAATCGCAATTAATTGCATCCAAAATAAAAGATTTGTGTACATAATATTTGTGTGTGTACTGTGTATATTTATTATGCATATATAAATACACACACATACAGTATATATTTTGAAAATATTATGTATTTACATGTATATATTTATATTCATGTATATGTATAAATATAACATTTTTCTTAAACACATACATTCATGTGTGTGTATTTATATATACATAACGAATATACACAGTACAAACATGTATTAGGCCTATGTAAACAAAAACTTTTATTTTGGATGCGATTAATCGTTTAACAGAACTCTTTATTTATTATTTGGATATGGAAATTAATTTAACTCAGTTTTTCTTTTAACTGTACAGTATTTAACTTTTTTATTTGTACAATAAATTGTCTAATTAACTATACTGTTAGATGTATTATTTATATATTTATTTAAATCACATTTTATGTATGTATTTTAATAAATATATTTAGTATTTTATAGGGTGATTATTTGAATTGATTTTTAAATGCATTTATTTTAATCAAATGTTGATTATTCATTATTTATTTGAGCCCATTTGGATTTATTTATTAATCAAAAATAGATAGTTAAAACTTTTTTAATTTTTAACTAAAATTTAATATTATAATGTTTTGTGCATTATTTATAATTTATTCATACTGTTTATAGCGCAATTACAATATTACATAACGATGAAAAAAGATCAATTTAATCTTCTAAAGTGGAAATATAAGAAATGCAACTTACCAATTTTACAGCGAGAGAAGACGTTCAAACGTTTGTGTTGTTAGGACGTCTCTATGGCAATGACCGGTTACGTCAACTGCGCCTGCGCATAAACAAAGCGTAAAACTAACATTTCAACCTACGATCAACTAGATTTATTAGGAAATTAAATATAAACGTCGGAATCGCTGTTAAATATATTAAACCGATCAGCAACCACGCAAACAGAGACACTTCAAATTCATTTAGGATACGTTCGCCTGTGCGGGAATCAAGGGAAATGTAGTTTTTAGAGTTCAAGAATGTTAAAGGGTGATTACGTATAAAACTACAACTCCCATGCTGCTTCCTCTCGGCAGCCGCCGCCGTGTTGTTCGTATAGTGTGATGTTGATGTTTTGGCTCAGTTGGAGAGGCGTTACGGTTAATGGTAGATTTTCCTTCATCTTTCTCCCGCTGCAGTTTACCTCTAAAACAGGTAAGGACGACATATAAGGCACTCAATGCAGTTTAAAGTCAGGACTGACGGATTGAAGAGACTCATTCATATTCCGCTGTGTGTTTGTGAGAGTCAGTGTTTGTCGTTTTGTCTGCTCATCTCTCAAGTGCAACAGCTCAGTTCACGAACTGAATCAAATGTTGAGTTTAGGACCTTATAAATCTAATTTTAGATTATGGGAGTCTCCTGCCTCGATTTTATTAGCAAGAATAAGATGAAACAAGCTGTATTCTGCAATAATAATCGCTCACAGTTGTCGTGTTTATGTAGTTATCTATTTTTTGCAGTTTAAACCGTGTTGTCATGTTTATTAGAATAATTAAAAAAAACGGTTATTGCATCATCCATCAACCTATAATTTTAATTTTTAAATTTTTTAGTTGTTACAGACTCCTAAATATGATTATCTTTGTCTGAGAGACCCCCATCCTAAAATGTACTGTTAGATGTATTATTTATGTATTTAATTAACATTTTTATATCATTTTTAGCTATTTATTTATTTAAATCTAATTTGTTTTTATTATATATATTTTTTATTTTTTTAATAGATTGTTTATTTTAATCACAATTTTATTATTAATTGAAATATATTTATTTTTACTTATTTTAATCAAATTGAGTTAGTTAGATTGAATCTTATTTATTTATTCATTTAATTTGTTCACATTTCCATGGACCTTCTAGCACTCCTTTGTGGTCAGTTTGAAAGATCTGTTGAAGTGTTTCCGTGTTCAGTGATTTTGTTTGGATGAGGATATGTGTGTTTAATGGCTCTGTTCTTCTGCTTTTTTGGATGGTTAACAAACCAGAGTGTGTTATTTTTGCATGCTCTTCCTGAAAAACAAACCAGTGAAACAACCAGATGATAGTTTTGACTCAGATCTGTGGTTTTTAAAGAAATAGTTCACCGCGAAATGAAAGTTCTGACATTATTTACTGCATGTTGTTACAGACTTTTCATGAACTCTTGCATCTTGAAAATGCAATACTTTATGCGTTTAAAAAGGTTTTGCATGAAGATACACCAGAATGCATCAGATTTCAGCATAACTATCAGATGTGTAATTAGAAGTTTCTTTATTTGTGCCTGTAATTCTTCTTGTTTATCAAGACCTCTATTCACACGGCTTCTGCAAACGCAGAATAATCATTTACCAGTGACAGGGTCAACCTGACATTTCCATCCCATAAATGAGTGTTCAGGTGGACGTCATTACAGAGGACAACAACACTGATGAGACTTGAAATAATGCAGTTTGCATAGTCAAATGTGTGATTTTGTTTCCCTCTGTAAATAACAGTCCATGTGCTTCTGTTGTGTGGTTATTTTTGTCGTGTAGCTGGTTGAGAGATGTCCGACAGCTCCAGTGACACGGAGTCGTCCTGCGGATGGACAGTCATTAGTAATGAGGTGAATCATGTGTTATTGCTTGGAATGTTACCCACCGGGTTTACCTCTAATCTAAAACATGCTTTTTGAGAGTTATTCTTTTACAGTCCTCTGCTGGGTGAAGAGCACATCTAGGTCTATTTCTAAAAATAGAAATAATAAATTAAAATTTTGCATAAAGAAAAATACGCTTATTTTTAGGACCTTTTTTTTTTTTTTTGCATTTTTGCATTATTTTCATGACAAAATATTAATTTAATTTAATTTTGAGGAGATCACGTCTAGAAAAATTGTAGGACCTTTTTTTTTTTGTTTTTTTTTTGCATTTTTGCATTATTTTCATGACAATAAAGCACATTTCCATATTTTTGATTGATTCATTTTTGGCACAGTTTTTGAGACTAACTTATAAATATTATGTAAATTGTAAGTCATATATATACTGTATATATATATATATATATATA